AATAACCGTTTGTTACCCGGGTAATCCCGGTTAATTACTAAAGATTATAAAAGGAGTCAAAAACCGCATTTGCGGCGGCAACTCACCATTAATTAAACTAGAGTAAGTGTAAATCAGATTTTGGCTAGTTCCCTGCGAGTTGTCGGTACAAATCGACAGATACCAAACAACCTATTGAAGCGTCTGCTTCAATGTAAGATTACCAGCGGACCTGACAGAGTTTAGACGGACCAGCACCATTGTCACTCCTTGCTACAGTCTCTAACAGATCAAAGGTTTTTATACCGGTTGTGGGGTCAGTGTAATAAGTGTATCTCATTGAAGTCGCATCGAATCGGTATACTGGTTCCACAACACTGGTAACTATTGTCTCAATAAATCCGTACTCATGAATATTAATAAGCTTGAAGCTGATTAACAGGCAAGAAGAAACAAACAGCCAATTAGAGGAGAGTAAATAAAAAAAAAAATACAATCTTTAAAAACTTATTAAAACACTAGAACATGCTTAAAAAACATTGTGTTACATTTCCGCAATACAATAAAAATAATAACAAGATTCAATGAACCGTGGCACGTCCCCAACGTCTGATAATGATTACAGTGCTACAGTGCTTATTTGTTTCCTAATTAACATAACAGTTTACACCGCGACTATCGACAAACTAAGACCATCATGACGATTAAACAGAATGAGTAATTAGTCAAAAACTATATCAAAAAATCGTTATTGATAATTGATACCCTATCTTACCTATCTTTATTTATTAATCTCCATCATTCAATCAATAAAGATGTTTATTTACTAAAGAAAACAGCTTCAAGACTCATACAGTGACAAATTTTCTGTCAAAATTGCTCTCTTTTTACTTCTTATAAAATTGACGGTTCCTTTAACTTGCACTTTGTTTTATTATAAATCTTTAATTATGAGCTAGGCCAGTGCTTTTGCGACTAAGTTTTTTTTTATTTATGGATAGAATAAAATGTTAACAGTAATTAAAGTGAAAAGTCATGACAACCTAAAGAGGATGTGCACAAATATCTTTAGTAATATAATTTGAAACTCTACAAGTTTTTCTTTCTGTTGGATCAATTTTCAATTGAAATGCAAATTAAAAGGATAATTTGCTCATTCATTGCTTAAAAGGATTGTAAAGAGGATTTCTAAATTTTTTAAGCTTATCGGGGACAAATCTGTTTACCCGCACATAAATAACGTGCCAAAGAAACATCAGCTGAGTTACGGAAACAGCGAAAGTGGTTGATTTTATATGATTTCTGCCAAAGGCTTTTACTCAAAATTTGAAGGTCATGGCCACATGAGAGTGGGACCAAATGGATGGAGTATTTGAGTTTAAACAGTTTTATTCTATGCAATTTAGGGACTGGGCTAGGGGTCTCCTAAGTTTGGCATTTAGCGGTGTAATAGGCGATTTGTGGTCCATGTAGCATCCAGTCACTAAAGGCGCTAAATAAAAATGGCGTCACCATAGGAAACCATTGTAGGCCTATGCCAATCAGAGTGACCAGACTTGTTTATGTTTATACAGGCTCTGACCAAAGACGTCTGATTGAAAATAGGAATGGTGCAAATTGATGCTATCATTGTCCCATATAGGCTACACATACAAAATTTAGAACACCTCTTCGTTGTTGTAGTTCCTAATTTCAATAAATCAAACTCTATAGCTGAAATGGGCCAATATTTCTCCATTATGACATAATTGATATTTGGCCTACATTCCTTAAAAATAGTCTACAAAACCAAACTCTGACAATCAACACAGACAATGACATAACTCGTACCGTATGTTACTTTATTCTCAACTTTCGAAGACCTCGGGAATAATTTTTTCATTGAGTCGCTAGAATAGAAACTTAAGTCCATGATTAGCCTCGAGAGTATAGTGACAAGACACTTTGGTTGTAAGATCTTGTGGGTAACAAAAATATAAACCTCACCTTGTCCAGTTAAGCACAAAATATTAAATTTCCACAACTGGTAAGAACCAACCTTACCGGAAGATCAGAAGACTATAAATTAATACCGGTCGGTAAAGGTGATTTTACAGTTAAATAACAAAAATCGTTCAACCATTCAAAACTGGGGATACAGTTTTAAAAGAAACAGAGGACAAATGTGTATTTAAAACGCTTGACTTGATTGAAAGTAGAGATCAGTATTTAATGAGTGTTGCACAAGAACTATTTTTAACCACATCGTCATGTTAATTCCTTTTTTTCATCACGTCATGTTGCATCATTACCAATAACTGCTTGGTGAAATATACAGGATTGCCTGAAATATTCTGCTGCCTACTGTTTTATTTTCTTTTGCTGATTATTTTTAGTTGATACACATGCTTCAAAATATAAATGAAAATGTTAATGAGCATAATAAGATAATCACTTTAAAAATTGTTTCATAGAACTACGCATTTCTTTTTTTTTCTGTTTTAGTGTAAATGTACTGCAATTTATTATACCAATTGCTTTTTATTTTTTATTCAACTACACGAGCAGCCCTATTTTTTTACAGGCTTTTAGTCGAGGGCACTGATTGGCTGTATTTGCTAGCTTATAATCCAATCAAATTGATACTTGCTAACAAACATGATACAAGTTCCTTAAAAAGTCAAGGTATAAGACCAATTTCGTATTACCTTGACGTTGTGAAGATGTTAATTGCCACGAAAAGAAAATTGTACGAAATCAAACAAAGGGAACGAATGGGATTAACCGACATTGTCAAAAGATCTAAAACCGTTCGGATATAGGCCCTATAGGCTAGGACAGCTGTCAACTTCCACTATATTAGGTAACATCTCAATTCTATGTCTACATGACTCCCCTGACTATACCCAATTACGAATATGAGTCCGAAATGTTCTTCCTGAGTGAGTGAATTCAGTGTTCAGTAAGTTCGGTTGCTTAAATAAGAGATACAGACCGGGTTGCCATGGGTTTATTTTAGTCTTGAATATAGGCTATGTTCGAAAATCGCATAATTCCTTTAAAATACTTCAAAGTAGGAATTTAACTCACTATTTCGATATATCATGGGTTTAGGTATCTTCTCAATGTCAGACTATTATGAATTGGGACTAATGCCTTCACTGTTATTGTCACTTGTTTGTACCACAGAAATTTGTTAATACAATGCATAGATTTGATCCGATGAATCTCTTCATTTACAAACTTCTGTGATACAAGGTGGCAACTATAGTCAAGGATTTAGTTATAGCTCGTAATAGCTTGAAGATTGGGTTTCTAAAGTGTCTTTACCTATATCATCATTACAAGTTGTTCATACTCCATTAACCAACCATTAACCTATATTTTCACCCAAGGACATAAGATTTAAAGGGAAAATAAAACCAATCTACATTTCCAGTCTCACCTTCTCCCCCGAAGTCATTTCATTGTCAAACATTCTCGTTATATTGTTGAGATAACTGGACACATTTTTTGATATCAGTTTCTTTTGTATATGTTTAATCCTATTATGAACATCTTGGTCGTGTACCATTGTGTACAGAGATTACAAACTACATTTAATTTAAATGGCATCCATCTTGAATTAAAATAGCAATGCTCAAATTATGAGGCATTCTACAGTATCCACCCTAACCTGTCCAGAGCTGGTTTGTTGTCCAATTTGATATTCAATCAAAAATAAGTGAACTGGTAAAGGTAAAAACAAATGCAGACAGGCCTATAGATGTTACGTGACATGATTTATAGTGGTTATAAAGAAGTTTTATAACTTTTCTATATGCATCAGGGACACTGATAGCATCAATTTGCACAACCAGATTCGATCGAATGTCTGTGGTACCTGTAATTCCACTCAAACTAAAAGATTGATGATGTCACTAATCGCAAAATATGCTTTTTTGCTCTTTACAACCCGTTTACGTCCATATTACATTATCATCCCAAATCTATTCTATCGCAATGGGCACAATTTCCGGTTCTTTGGCGACCAGGCCCGTGAATATATTATCTTGAAAAAGTTGAGCTGTCAATATACCCTCCACATACGAACCTTCGAAGAACTTTCACTCAAATTAATTTGCTTACCTTTTCATGTCTGCACAATAAATCATACCTCCAATAATATTGCGCCCTTAACTCATTGCTGATAAAATGGTATTAAAATCCAATTAAAAATATACATGTGAGAACAGAAATTGTCAATACCGAAGTCGAATTGGTTATATCATAGCCCACATCAGTGCTCCCGGGAGTTGAACCAGTGTCGGCGTTCACCCCCTATCACCAAAACGGTGAAGATTGAGATATGCACAACAAAATATTGACTTGAAATGGAAAATTTTAATACAACTAACACATACAAGAAGTATTTTAAAGTATGCAATATTGAATGTTTATTAAAATTAACAATAAATTTCTTCATCAAATAGACGATTTTTTACATTATATCACGCACATCGTCGCCTTTTTTTCACCCACCTTTAATGATTTTTTGAAGACATCCTTTGAGTTAAAGGAAATACGATTAATTGGGTCGCCGTACACCAATAAACCACACAAAAATCTCATTCATAAGTCATTTTATGAGCTTATTTTTAGACCAATTTCCTAATGTTCGCATCTACACAATGGTTTCCAAATTATGACATCTTGTTTACATTTATTCGCAGGGATGATTCTACCCAGCGCAGTAGCATGAGGACACGATTTCTAAAAATACAGAATTGCATCAGTTGCGTTTACCCGAGGGCATGCCCAGAACTAGACTAGCAGCTTTACCCCCACCCGTTACTAAATCAAATTTCTTGCAATTTGCCTGTAAGCCAGCTTTGACAGGTTTTCGGCCTCTCTTCAGCCCCGTACCCAACTCCCCCCCCCTCCCCCTCAACTAATGATTCAAAAACAGCCAGATGCAAGTAAGTTGAACAGTCATAGAGCAGTCGTTGAACCAGTTGCTCTAGATTCTATTGTCGTGTTACCCTTTTAAGTGCGTATATGAATTAGCGTGATCTAACTTGTAACCATGTACCATTTTGTGGTCTCACAAATCCCCCCGTGGCCAGTTTTGGTTTCACCTGTAAATAATAGAAAATATTTGTTAGACATTCGGTAAAATTTTGCGTCCTTAGTGGTGGCTCACATTACACTACATAACAGGCACCTGTTTCTGTTCGAAAGAATGCAATTCTTCTACCAGAATCCGGTGGCTGTGCATTACACCTATATCCCACTACAATATAAATTATCCAAAGAGGACACTCTTACAGTATTGTTTGGTTCACCAATATCTTTGGTTCATACGTGAAGGATTTGAGTGTGGAGGCTTTGTCATTTTCATATGGACAGGGTACCCAATCGGATGTCCCCAATGTCTAAATATTTTACATTTCGGGGAAGGGAGGGTTTGATTCTCCCAAATGTACAGGCCTAGGGTGGAGCAGACACTTTATTTAGAAATTAGGATTAAGGGTCTTGATATTGGGTTTTCTT